ATTGATGGACAACATATATCTCATTTATATAGTTCCACCCAGTTATTTGGTTGGGAGTTAGAAAGACTGTGGCTACAAGGGCCACTTTAAGGAATTTACTGCACTATAATATGTTAGAATACAGTTGATACGAAAAACTAAAGATGGAAAACTAATGTAAAGAACAGACTGTTCAAGTTACTTGGAAAAGCATTATTTTAGAGGATAGAAACACAAACATCCATCTGCCCATCAATCCACCCTACATGTTTCTTTGATTTCAACCAAAAAAATAAATTTTTTAAAAAAATTAAAATTTGACAATGGAAGAAAGAAGGGGTTCCAGTGAGCCTACTAATGCAGATTTAATAAGTAACAATATATAATAATAGTATTAGAAAAAAATTTTCTACCACATTATGGTAAATGTAAAAAACATTAAATATTAAAGAATACTCATGTGAAATCATCATACTCATATTAAAGTCTCATGCATGCGAAAGCTGGACAATGAATAAGGAAGACGGTAGAAGAATTGATGCCTTTGAGTTATGGTGTTGGAGGAGAATATTGAAAGTTCAATGGGCTGCCAAAAGAATCAATAGATCCGTTTTGGAAGACGTGCATCCAGAGTGCTCCTTGGAGGCCAGGATGCTAAACTTTGTCTCTCATACTTTGGACATATTGTCAGGAGGGGCCAGTCTCTGAAGAAGGATATGATGTTTGGTAAGGTGGAGGGTCAGAGAAAAAGAGGAAGACCCCCAACGAGATGGATAGGCCAAGTGGCTGCATCAGTGGACTCAAGTGTGGCAACAGTAGTGAGGTTGGCCCAGGATCGGGCAGTGTTTCATTCTGCTGTGCATAAGGTCACACTATGGATCGATACCGACTTGATAGCGCCTAACAACATCAATGAGATGAAGTGCATACATTTATTAGGAGTAATACTTTCTGATTGAGTCTTGAATATGCAGTGTATATTCTCATTTGTAAATTTTAGTTTCCTAAGTTACTGATGTTTATTACTTTGTTATTTAACTAATGGCATTGATCTAGAGCAGGGATAGGGAACCATTTTTTCTGCCAAGGACCATTTGGATGTTTATAACATTTACAGTACATACAAAATTGTCAACTTAAAAGTTATCTGGTTATATATGTCAAACATTTAATTAACTCACCCCTAATGTGATGGCTGGAATCCTGGTGTAGCACTAGTGTGCTGGACTGCAAGGTTGGTTTAAACCACAGGGTTGATAGTTCAAACTCAACAACTGCTCCTTAGAAACCCTAAACAGGGTCCCTGTGAGATGGAACCAGCTCAATGCACTGAAGAACAACAACGTGATGGTTGGACTCCTGATGTGGCGCTGTAGGATCAGCACTGGTCTGTAAACCACAAAGTCTGCAGTTCAGATCCACAAGCAACTACTTGGAAGTCCTCTGCAGAGTCACTAAGAGTTGGAATCAACTAGACAGCACTGAATAACAACAGTGTGATGACTGGAACTGCAGTTGCTTTGGCAGGACCAAACAAAATGGTTTCATGGGCCTTACACGGCCCACAGGCCAGATGTTCCCCACGCTGATCTGGAATCATCATCATCGCTAAGTGCCATGAAGTCGGTTCCGACTCAGCCGCCCTGTATAGGGTTTCCAAGGAGTGGCTAGTGAGCTTGAACTGCTGACGTTGCAGTCCAGCACGTTAACCCACAAAACCACACCAGGACTCCCTGATCTAGAGTAAGAAGTGATTTTTCCAAATGTCAAATGTTTATAAAGATTTCTTTGATTTCACCCCAAAATGATAGAAAATATTTATAAGAACCTAATCTTTGGGTTTTTGTTTTTCACATATTTCAATAAATACTTAGTATCTGTGTTTTTATTATGTCATAATATTTATGTTTTAAGTATAATTTATATAACTTGCAGTCTTAACAGTTTGTCATTTGTATTTGTTAAGTGCTGTCGAGTAGATTCATCTCATAGTGACCCTGTATAGTGCTTTTGAGGAGTAGCTGTTGAGCTTGAACCACCAACTTTGTGGTTCAATCCAACTTTGCAGTCCATTGCATTAACCCACAGTGCCACACCAGGACTCTGTTATTTATACTTGTGTAGGATTTCTTTCTTTTTTTTTTCTTTTCCAATATGTGTTTTCATTGAAAATTTACACAGCAAATTCGGTTCCAATTTGACAAGTTTTTGTAGCATAGTGGTTACACATTGGGCTGATTACTTTAAGGTCAGCCTCTCCCTATAATTGAAATCTTTCAAAAATGTAGTATGATACTCGAGGCACTCACTCATCTATGGCAAGAAATTTGGAAGACAACTACCTGGCCAGCTGACTCGAAGAGATTCATATTTTACTGATTTCAAAGAGAGTTGACCCAGTGGGATGCAGAAGTCATCAGACTATATCATCAATATTGCATGCAAGTAAAATTTTGCTAAAGATAATACAAAAACAGCTGCAACCATACATTGACAGAGAAATTCCAGAGGTTGAGGTAAGATTCAGAAGAGGATGTGAAATGAAGGCTATCATTGCTGACATCAGATGGATCTTGGATGAAAGCAGAGAATATAAGAAAAGATGTTTATTTGTGCTTTATTGACTATGCAGAGAGGCTTTGTATTGTGTGGGTCATGACAAGCTATGGACAACATTGTGAAGTATGAGTATTCCCGAACACTTAATTGTCCTCGTGAGGAACTTGTACATAGACCAAGAGGCAGTTAGTTGTTCAAACAGAACTGTTCAAACAGAACAAGGGCACCACTGATTGGTTTAAAATTAGGGAAGGGTTGTATTTCACCACACTTAATCAATCTATATGTTGAGTGCATACTCCAAGAAACTGGATTATATGAAGAAGAACGTGGCATCACTATTGTAGGAAGGAAGGCTCATTAACAGCCTGTGATATGCAGATTGCACAAATTTGGTGGTTGAAAGCCAAGAGGACTTAAAATACTTAATTATGCAAGTCAAAGACCACAGCCTTGGGTATGGGTTGCACCTCAATGTAAAAAAAAATCAAAAACAAAAATCCTCACCACTGGACCAATAAATAACATCCATATAAATGGAGAAAAGGTAGAAGTTGCCAATAACTTCATTTTACTTGGATCAACCATCAACACCCATGGAAGCAGCAGTCA